GATCTTCTCTTCACCCACATTTCAGCCATAGAAAATAGAAATGTACATCCACACCCCTATCTAAAATGCCTTCCTCCATAGTAAAAGCTTCCTTTAGAGAGATCGATGTGAAAGTCGTATTAGAAGCAGCGGAGCTTCTATAGTGTCGAGATAATTTCAGTTTTTCGAGTGAAGCGTCGCAGTTGCTTTCAAATTAGTCTTGGTGAGGTGCGGTCTGCATATAAAAAATATTCCTCTAGGCTTCAAATACTCATGATTAAGAATAATCCCTAGAAATCATTTCCATTTTTCGGTCACGTCCAAGCTTATAGTCGCGATGCACTCTGTAAATTATTTTGTCTAGCAACACGTATTTGAACGTCACTACAGATTAACAAATTCATGTTTCTTCTGCTCGTAATATCATGATATGGTGTGGGTTTGTGAGTCTTCGCGTCCATAATACTCGTCCCTATTCACACCCTCAACGATCTATTTTGCATCATTTCACCATTAGACTTTAATAAATGCCCATATTGCCTCTTATAAAAGTTCAGAATCAAGAAAAATAACTTTGCTAGGTAGTTTTGAGAAATGAAACGGATTATGATCCTTCGAGTTATTGTTCTTGGAGAAAACCAACATTTCAAATTTTATTAGTCATAAAACTCGAGTGTTTTTAATTTCATATTGTCTTTCAAATTTCATTTATTAAATACTCAAAGAAAAGACACGGATGAGCAGTGTACCTGAGAAAAACAAAAGATGTCCTAAGGTTTCGTGCACCCTTATGGAATTACCCTGTGTGACTAAAACAAATCATGCTTTTGAGACCATTGGATCAATAGAATAAATATTCAAATGTCGTTTCAATAGTCTTTTCAGGATTCAACCGAAGATCAACATAGCTATGCAGAGAATAATCTTCAATTGTCAAAAGAAACAGAAAATTCACAGGGCTGACTTTTGACAACTACAGAAATTTTACTGCTCAAATCACTATGGTGAAACTCATGTAATGCTCAAAAACAGAAAAGATATCACTGATTAAGACTGACGTGAAAGACGAATACTTAATAAGAATTTTATCAAGAAGATTGTATACAATCGTTTATACACGTTCTTTAATTTTTCTCATTGTTTTCATGAATTCACTTCATTGAATTAATAGTAAATAGTGATTGTTGACAGCAGAAATTGATGGATAGAAGCTACTGTAATTTTCTCTATGAACACATAAAAACTCAAGTCAAACAATCTTCTTAATTTCATACATGTTATTCAATGAAACCAAGAACCATCAATCTTTTGTACATGGCAAAAGCACATAATTACCTATTGTCGTCAGTTGTTAGTCTTTCTCGGTTCGTTTTCTGTCATGAGTCTATGTGTACATCGCAAAAAGCATTAAGATTGATTGAATAGAATCAATATACCAAAGATTAACGAACCATTTGATGTCAGATGCATATAGTCAAAAGCACTAAGAGTGCAGAAGAAATCTATGAGAATATTCTATGGTTGTCAGATGACTATGGAAGTTTAATAATTCATTTTAATCAAGCCAATTTTGATTATCAACAATTAAAAACTAGATTATTTAATAAATTATTCACTTTTAATAAGAACGTCTAATACTTACAATAGATTCGTTTTATGAACAAAAAACATGTTCATAATTATTTTATAAATATTTAATTAGTGATTATTAGAATTCTAACTACTATATTTTTTTGTTGATAGAAAAATATCTCTTTTTGAGTTCATGATTAAGCTTAGTTGTAAATATAAAATATCTTTATAATTATATGATATATCAAGACATATTGCACTATTCAATGCAATTGTAGTTATCTATTAGAATAACTTTGTAACGTTCTTTTGATAAAATTTATTCTTCCAAAGTAAATCCCATATGTATTTAACATTATCATGATTAATCCTTTGAACAAAAGAAATCACACGTATTTAATTCAAGTAAAACAAAAAGAGATGCAATCTTCTATATATATATATTCTTTAAATTATCTTGTGTTTTTAAAGATATAGGCAGTGCAATCTATTGTTTTGTTTTTGTCATCGTATTGATTAAACTTGACGTATACTGAAAACAGATCTTTTGAAGCAAAAGTTTATCTATTGCAAATTAATTTTTCTTTATTTTTAAGCAGTTCCAAAAAAAAACTATTCGAATCTATGATGATATATATAATTTTCCATTTAAGGATATGAAGAGAACATGACAGGTGAGTATTATATAAACATAAACTCTCGTTTTTGTTTCATTAATTAATAATATAATGAAAAGACTGAATATTGAAAAAATGAGCAATGGTTTAAACTGAATACCTTAATTACATTTATGACTTTTAAAACATATTATATTATCAAATAGATTTGATTGATACACTACACTGGTATTTCGATGCTAAACAGCTACGACCTGCAAACCGACTTGTATTATCAATACATTGATGTATTTCTTAAGAAAAAAATAATAAATACAATTTCATATAAAATATCAACATGAAGTTACATAATACATATTAATACCATATTCACAAATAGAGATTGTCGATTCGAATTTTAAATTACAATAGGTAAACTCATCACAAGTAAATGGTGATTTCATTGTTTAATTATCAGTCGAATTGATTATTCTAACGACAGTAGAAGATTTTTTGGAAACCGAAATACTGATATATTGATACCTCCGATACTTTACTAGTCAATCCAAGATAGCACTAAACAAATATTTCGCTAAAAGATAAATCTTCACCAAAGCTACAGTAACTGTGTTGTACGTGATTTTTGTTATAAGTAAACGTGGAAAAAAATACATCAGAATTATCAAGAAAAATAGTTACTAGTTTTACTTCTCTGTCACTCTGTTTTTTTGTGTATTTAAGGATATTATATTTCTAATTTTCATTTTCGAGAAAACTCTATTTTGGTTTGTGAAAGCTAGTTCATATGTATTTTGCTCATGAAATTTAAATCTTTCCAAGGGAATCCATCCTTCTAATTTCTCGTCTAGTTACGATACTCTAAAATAATATGAAATTGATAAGGAAAAAAAGAGACAACATCATGATTATTAAGATCAATTAATGAATTATATGAAAGAAAACAAAACTGATTTTTTTTTGTGACATTCAAATTTATAAGAGGTCCATTGACATTATTGCTAAATATATTACAATAATATTCCTCATATAAAATTAAAACCCATACATGTGAAGTATATCGTATTGCAGCGCCATCATGAACATTTGTACGTTCAATAATTCACCAATGAATATTTAACATAAGTGAGTCATGTAGTGGTGAAGTTTATTTCGTAATCAAAACAAATGTCGCTCTTCAATTATCATACTATTTGTCATTTGTTTTACTCTTTTACCTTTTAAATAACACTGATAATATTGATAAATATTTTTTTTACACATTTTTCAGAGTCGAAGAAATATATGAATCGAATACCTTTATAAATCATATTTATTCAAGAATAATAATAAAAAACTGATCATGTCATCAACTCATTCTCGTGATTTACATGTAACATCAGCTGCTGCTGCTGCAACAACTACAGGTGGTCTGCGTGGTGTTATTGCTGGTAAAAAATCTTCTATTATTCTAAAATAAAAAATAAATGAATTTATATATATTTCTTTTTTACTAGGTGGTATAACGGGTGCAATTGAAATTTGTATAACATTTCCAACGGAATTCGTTAAAACACAATTACAATTAGATGAAGGATCAAGTAGACGTGGTGAACCACGAAAATATAATGGTGTTATTGATTGTGTAAAAAAAACAGTACATTCACGAGGATTTTTTGGTCTTTATCGTGGTCTTAGTGTACTTCTATATGGATCGATACCGAAAAGTGCAGTAAGGTAAAAAGAAGAAAAAGAATTTATTAGAATTTATTAGAAATAAAATTTGAATCCTTTATAGATTTGGCGCTTTTGAAGAACTTAAAAAACATGCAGTTGATGAATATGGTCAATTAAATTCAAAAACTCGACTTTTATGTGGTTTAGGTGCTGGTGTAAGTAATCATATTTTTTTTTGGTAGATGTTGTAAAATATTAAATTTTATTTTTAAGTTTGCTGAAGCTATACTTGTTGTTACACCAATGGAAACTGTTAAAGTTAAATTTATTCATGATCAACATTTAATTAAACCTAATTATCATGGATTTTTTCATGGTGTTCGTAAAATAATTCAAACTGAAGGTGCCCTTGGTTTTTTTTTGTTTTTATTTTCATAGATTTTATTATTTATTTTTGAATTAGGTATTCGAGGTACTTATCAAGGTTTAACAGCAACTATGCTTAAACAAGGAACAAATCAAGCTATTCGATTTTTTGTTATGGAAACATTAAAAGAACAATATAGAAAATATACAATGAAAGGACCTAATACACCAATACCAGTAATTATTACAGGTATATTTGGTTTAATTGCTGGTGCAGCTAGTGTTTTTGGTAATACACCGCTTGATGTTATTAAAACACGTATGCAAAGTCTTGAAGCTGCAAAATATAAAAATACATTTGATTGTGCAATACAAATTATGCGAAATGAAGGACCATTAGCGTAAATTAATTGTTTACAATGAGAATATTTTGTTTACATTATTTTATTTAGATTTTATAAAGGTACTGTACCAAGACTTGGTCGTGTTTGTGCTGATGTTGCAATTACATTTATGATTTATGACAAATTTATTGAAACGTTTAATCGTATATGGCCACTTAAGTAAATTATTTCTTTTTTGTTCAGATCTATTGCAGACTTTTTTTCTCGCATACATATCATTTTATATGTTGTATTCCAGTGTTTTTTTTCCAATATTTATCATTCGGAATTTTTTATTTTTAATCAACCTGATATTTTCCTAGTACTAATTTCAAAGTCATTTATTATAATAAAAGTCAAATTTTTGTTTAGTATTGTAAAATATAGAAAAATAATATTATTATCTATTTGTAGATTAATTAAATAAAATATGTCGAATAAAAAAACAGATCTTCATCATCCAGGTAAATTTTTGCTAATTTTATCTAACTCTATTCAAAGATCATTTTTAAAACTATATAATAAATTAGTGTTGTTCAGATTTAATTTTTTTTAACTATTATCAAAATCTTGAAAAATATCTTTCGTACAGATATTGTTACTAATGATTTCTATCGTTTATTTATCGTGTTGCACGTTTGCGGATAATATGTTTTTTTTTTCAGTTGCTTTTTTTCTTCGACATCATTCAAGATGTACTAAGCTGCTTATTTATGCATGTTAGAGTGTGTACATGACATAAGAAGAATGATTAGGAAATAAAACTTATTCTTCCAGAATTTGGATTGTTCAAAATGCGAGTTGAAAGATGTATTATAATAACTGAAGAAAAATTGTCAATGACATTTTTCATACTTTTTCTTGAAGTAAAAGACTGAAATTTTTGTTTCATATATATATGGTGCCAAGATCTTTCATTTTCCTAAGTTTCACTTCTTTAGCTTAAACTAGTACTGAAATTCATGAATTTTCGTAGTGGATTTTTTGTAATATTTTTATTAGTTTCGAGAGAGCTACACGAACTCTAACTTACCATTTGAGCTTATATAGAGTCTACATGGAAGTCTCGATAAGATTAAAAAAAGCGTCAAGTAGTTTGTCCTCATGGGTCTTCTTATTCATGTTATGACCGTATGATAGGTCTTATGATATCTAGAAAGTTTCAGTTGAAAAGAAGTTTCTTTGTCGAGATACGGAATTTCCAAGTAACTTTAATTTCTATGATATGTCTATATTTTCAGCTGCCATGGACATTTCTGGTCTACAAATGAACATTTTTCTCGACAGAAAATTTCAAGATACTGTTAGGGTCATCAAATCTATTCTGAGGCTGAATTACAAATCGAAATTCAGTAAAATAGTTATAAATCGGTTCTGAAATTGGCGGATTGCAGTTGAGATAGTTTCCTCATTAGTTAATTGCAACATGACGGCTAACTTTAACTATACAGGAATACATTGGTATCTAGAATCTTTCAGATTTAATGATAAATTTCGGATTGTGTGGAATATCTCCACCTGAATTTCGGCGATTTGTCCAATTTCTCTCGGGATCTTCACAATGAAAAAGATTGTTGAAATTTCGGTTCACTCAAGTATTAGTATTGTATGGTTCGTAGTACCATTATTTTACAAATATAGAGAACCAGGAGACAAGCAATGGTCAGTTTGATCATATGTGTGATGTGTACTAAAAGAAAACATTCTTGGAAAAATGAAGGCCGAGATATCGTATCAATTACATTCGGTCATAGAAAACTATAGAGTGCACGATTATACTCATATTGAGTTTTATTATAATTAAAGTTTTTTGCAAAAAATTGTCTTGTACAATTTTTTTGTCATATGGTATTTATAAATATAATTATTCAAGAAATAAAGATGTTATAAAAGTCAAATACGAAAAATCATGTATTACAATCTTGACCACAAGCTAGAGTATAAAGAATACTATTGATCAGTTCATTCAATCGTTTCATTAAGTCGATTGATATTACGAAAAAATAAAAATTGTCGAACTTCATGTTAATAACTAGGGTTTTTTTTTATAGTGACAAATCAAAATAGAAGGAAATAAAAATTTCACCATAATAGTTGTTATTAGTTCATTAAGTTTGAGTTTTCTTCTCATTGAAACTCTGAAAAATCCTACATAAATATTAAAATCAATCTTTTCTTTTTTTCAACAGTTGGATATGATGATGGAGAACAACATGTTGGCAAATCGAAAGTTGATCCTCGTGAAGATAAGTTACCACCACAAGCTGGTACACATGGTCAACCTGATAGTCATATTTCTGGTCAATCAGGTGCAGAAATTTTAGGAGGTAAGTTTTATATTAAAGAGCATATCGAGTTTTCTATGAGAAACTATCTAGAGCTTTATTTTCAAATTTTCTTCATTTTTTTTTCTTTTCGTATAGGGTCTGCAAGCACACGTGTAACTGGTCAATCAGTTGATGAACAACTCAAATTTCCATTACCAAACAATAGTAGAAAATGAATGTGTTCTTTTTTTTAATGATAATCAAGCATAACTTTAACTTGTTATTCAATATTTTCATTTTTAATTATAAATCAAGCTAATTAGAAGAGAATACTTTTCTTTGAATATTCAATATTTGCTCGTTAAGATTTTTGTTGATGAAAGTAGATCAAAGCAAGAATCTAATTAAATATTGATAAATCAAAATGATTGATCTTTAAAAATTTTTGTCGAATATAAAATGCAGTTTTATAATTTTTCTAATCCTAGTTTACTGTCATTAACATTTCAATTTGTATAATGTGCTAAGATTTGGTGAATACATTCTAATACAACTAGTTTGTAAATCTGGACGAGTTTATGATAAAGATTTTGTTTTTTTTTTGAATATTTTAAGTTTTTTCTTAATATTTAAATGCTCGATTCTGAGTACTCATATCGTCATAAAGACGACGAGTGTTGTTATATATATATATATATATATATATATAAGTTAAATCAAGATTATGATTACATGATATTTATTTACGAATAAATAGAGTGCGTTTATAATAATCGAGAACATGTTCATATGTATTTTGTCGTTGATAGGCTATACCGATTTACAGATATTTAAGGCCACTACCCTCGAAAATTGATCTCAGTCCAGGAACATCCAAATTACATGAAACTTTCAAGATATGTTGGGACTGGTGAGTGATGGCTATGAAAAAATTTTCAGCCCTATATGATGATGTTTGACAGGGATATTCATCAAACAAGGATCAAAAATAGCTCTATCGTAGCGCCAAGATTTCACTGTGAGCCTTTATTTTATACATTTAAATTTTTTTTGTTTGAAAGCTTGTGTCTAGGGCTAGGCAATCTCGTGGCCCTTTTTCCAAAACTCTTACTTTTTAAACGAAGATAACGGATGACAAGTTCAATGACTCAAAAAACCTCTAACAAAATGGCACTGTTTTTATAGAGGTGTTTTCTCATATGATAATGAAAAGGCTTCTTTTAAAAAAAGAGCCACGAGGAGGGCTAGCTCTAAATGCAAGATTCCAAACAAAAAAAAACTATTTCACGTTATCTTTTACTATGATAGAGTTCTATGACGCTACATGGTTGAATTCACGTTCTGAGAATAACGAGAAATGATTTTTGTTTTTTTTGTAAAAACGAGCTATTTTTCGAATACGGGATGATGAAAATCTTTCAAAATTTTTAGGAAAAAAGAGATACCAAATAAAAATTTTTGTCGCATATGAAAGAGCAAATGACGGGCTATTTCTTCATGAATTTATCTCAATTTCGATGATTCTGGCGAAAAGCGACTTTTTTGAGGGGAATCTTAAGTATAATGTGATCCGAACGCTCAGAGAAGCGTCATTAAGAGTACATTTTGTACTGGCATGCATATGTTCTAACTACATAGAATTTATGTACCATTATGTATCCTCGTGTGCTTAAGCACATGGTAGTATATGCCGTTAAGTAAATGTACATGGATGAATGTCGTAGTTCTCAAGAATACATTTTGTATTCATATACGTACAGATCTTTTTTTCTACAGATCAGTTGTAATCATTTTAAAGTTCAGACGTCTTATTTATTATAGACAAAACTTGAGATAGAAAATGTGTGGTTTTGCCCTTTTTGTCGTAGGTTGTTGAAGATTCAAATCTTAGTAAAACAAAAGCTCAACTTGCAATGCTATTGAGATAACAAAAATGATCGAAAAATGTTATTTTTCGTTATTGGTCATTTTCATTATAGTTTGCAATGATTTATCAAAATCGGGTAATGGGCAAGCATTTTATATTCATTGTAACAGAAGCATGGAGAATTCCTGAGTCTGATGTTATTTTGTGCTTGCTTAATTAGTATATACGAGAAACTTATCATACCATATGATTCATGAACTTAAAACGTTGACAATCGAAAAGGTTTTTCAGTAAGTCTTGTTATGTTTTATTCACTTCAAAATCTACCTGTTATCTAGTCTAGAGTTGTAACAAGTAGGGTTTTTCCTTACTAGTGCTCATAGGGATCTAAATGATTAGATTGATCGGTAGCTCTCTTGATTACAGTAATGATGTAAGATTACTGTTTCACTACTGTAGAACATTTCATTATTAACTTATTACATGGATTTAATAATCATTAAACATTAACATACATAATTAATTCATATTAAGAGGATTATGATGAATTTTACTTAATATAATAATCTGATGCATGTTTCGTCACCTTCAAATAAAACCAAAACTATGACTTGCGAATAAATGTTTAGAAAGTTTTTTGTCATAACTCCAACGATTAGAGTTTAAACTTTTATACTCTTTCCAATAATGAAATGATATCTGCGGACGTGTATGGATGTGTATGTGAAAAGATGAACTTAAGCCGCGACAACATCCTTACTCACACCCAACCTCTCTATCCTCAAGAACCTTTTTGGAATTTGAAAAATATCTCTTATAACCATTAGTTTAAGTAAACAAGAGAAAAAATCTCACCATTTTATCACGAATATTAGGCTTTTCAGGCTATAATTTCCTATGATTTGAGCCGGTATTACTGTGAAACACTCCTTATTCAAAAGTTATTCAAAAAATGATGGTTGTTATTTTAAAAAAAAACTATATAATAGAAATATGAATCATTCGTATAAAGAATAGATAATAGCAAGGTAAGATTGATGTATTTCATTGATTAGTCGTATTTGAACGAGAAAAGTGCAAAGTGTCATACACATGCATTGATAACCAGTGCAAACGTCATTTTAATAACAACACAATAAAGGAAAAAAAAAGGAGAATTAGATCATTGAGGGCATAATTATTAGATGGGAAACTTGCTACCTATGAATTATTAGTAATACATCTAGACTATTCTTCAACCATAGTGATTGAATAGGTATAAATATCATTGTTGCACTGCTGTAGATTTATTTTCAGGTAGCACTACCTAATCAAATAAACAGGCAACGTTAAATAACAAATATCGTATATATAACTCAATCGACGATAAACAATCATGTACAAACAAATCTTTATGTCATTCTTCATCGTTTTCTTGACATTTATGTTCACCAATGGCGTGCCATTGAGAGATATTGATGATGAAAATAATATCAAATCAAATACATTAGTTCTTCGTAATGATTCTGATTCGAATCAATTCTTTGAAAGAGTCGATGCAATTCGTCAAGATAATGAAGATTTGCCTAAACACTTGAATAAACGGGCAGACTTCACCTCAGCTCAACGTCAATTTCAGAATGAAACGTTAGCAGCACATAATTCCTATCGTGCTCGTCACTGTGCTCAATCTCTTCAACTTGATGATATACTTAGTCGTTCGGCTCAAGACTATGCTCAAAAACTTGCTAGTACGAATCAATTTTCTCATAGTGGAACTAAAGGTCTTGGTGAAAATCTATACAAGGCATGGAGTTCAAATACTATCAAAATAAATGGTAAGTCATCTTCAAATCATCAGATATATTCATTATATATATATGTGTGTTTATTTTAATATTGTAGGAACTAAAGCAGTGACTTCTTGGTACAATGAAATTAAAGACTACAATTTCAATAATGGAGGTTTCTCAATGAAAACGGGTCATTTTACACAAGCCGTGTGGAGAAGTACGAAAAAGCTCGGTGTGGGTGTTGCTTATAGTAATGGAGGTCGTACTGTTGTTGTTGTTTGTCAATATTCGCCTCCGGGCAATTATCAAGGTCAATATCAAGCAAATGTTCGTCCAAAAGGCAGTTGCTGAATTGATTATTCTTATTGATGATCTATCAATTGGAAGAGGAGTCATGGTTCCATTTATTTATATCTAATTTTTGTAACGAATCAATCATCATAAATCCATTTAATGTGTATTTTTTTTTGCAAATCTAATCTAAATTCTAATACTTTTACTTTTCTATATTATTCCAATATTTTGATCTGTTATGAGTATGTTACTCACTCTTCCCTTCTATTGATTCTGCATTTTCTCTCATTTATTCTCTTTTTTTTTTGGATATTTTATATCAGAGACAATATAAAGAGGAATCGAATAATGTGATCATTCTTTTTTTTTTTGTTTTTTTTATTATGCTAGGAAATGTAGCACTCGGATGTGTTTACATGATAATGGAAAAAGAAAATTGAGAAATTTAAGCCAAAAACAGCATCATTAGTGCAAAGCGCAGGGGTGGCGCGACCGGGGGGTAGTCGGGGGTGCGACACCCCCCCAATCTTCAAAAATTTCTGTTTTTTTGCTCAACAAAATCAGGAAATTTTCTTCCATTTGTCACCAAAAACAATGTTACACCCCCCGAAAAATTGCAGACTTCGTCTTTCTAGTCCAAAAAATTTCGCTACACCCCCCCAATGTTGGTTGACTCGCGCCACCCCTGGCAAAGCGTTTCACTGTTTGCTATCCATATAATTGTGACTAATATTAGATCACGCTTGTAAGGATATTAAGAGTTACATAAAAGACGTTAAAAAGAGACGAAAAAAAATATATGAAGAAGGAAAAAAGAAAGGAAAGAAAAAAATGTGAGAGAGTGAAGAAACAGAGCAATAGAGAAAAAAGCAGAAAAAAAAAGGATTAAGACATTACATGTGCTCGTTCTTTGTATTAATTCATTTCAACAAAAAACAACCACCTTAAAAGACACGACTCTTGTCGATCTAACAATTGTTGTACACGACGCGTACAAAAAAATGACCGAGGTGATCGTTTTTTCTTTTGTAGAATTCATCCCAAACGAAGATATCATTATAGAAAAGTGAGGATCCAAGGTCAGTCAAAAGCATCGTCCTCAATCTTCTTTGAATATATTTTTTAACATAGAACTCCAAACGATATTCAGAAGTAATAGTATAAAGGTTATCTGCAGATACGAAGGGACAGCGATACACCAGTCGAACACCTACACGAAATGTTTGTTGCAATATTTGTTGCGGTATTTCTGGAAGCAGAGGATAAAAAGGAAATAACCATGCAAAATGTGGAAGGGTAAATGCAAAAAAGCATTGACGAAGAGCTTTAGACGACATACTTTGTCCGGCTTTTAACCACCTTAGTTTACCTAGGAATTTCTGGATATTTCCAATGCATTTTTCGAGTGTGGGTCTCAAGGATAGTTTATTAGTCCAAGTGAATCCCAAATACTTAAATTCGTTAACTAATTCAATTTTTTCTCCATTCATTGTTATATTTACTACTGGTCTTTTCACTTATGAATAAAACACCTGCGCTACTGTTTTCGATATATTTATCGGTTGTTTCCATTTTTTTGAATACGCATATACTTGATCACAAATTCGCGTACCTTCTTTCTCAAGATATTGGATCATCGGATTTAATTTCTTCGTAATAGGTGGTGTAATAAGAATACCAAGATCATCTGCGAAAAGATGACCTGAATGAGCCCCTAGGCAGTTTATTAGATCACAGTGGAACACAATAAACAAGTATGGACTGAGACTACTACCTTGAGGAAGTCCTATATGTATATCGAATATTTTCGATGTTTTTTCGCCAAAATCTACATACGCTCTTCTATCTTTTAACCAGCTAACGATTATTTTCAATAGGTCTAGCGGCATACCCAAATTCCACAATTTAATTAAGAGGGCGGCATGCCAGACACGATCGTATGTCTTCTGATAGTCGACATAGACAGCAAGTGTTGGTAAATTAGCTGCCATGTTATTTTTCACTTCCTGATAGATCGATAGTACTCGAGTGCGAAGAAGACATTTTGGACGGAATCCTGACTGTTCTATAGGTACACTAAATGATTACTTTCACACCAATGTCTAATTCTTTGAAGCAGCGCTTTTCTAAAAAGTTTTAAATGTGTTGCTAACAAGGAAATTGGACGTGTTTGATAACATTTAGGAACTCCTGATTTCAGTTTGTTTAGTGTTATTATCTTTGCTAGTTTCCATTCCTCAGGATATCTTCCTTCACTCAACCATACATTAAAACATTTTGTCAGGCAATCAATATAACCCAGAGGAAGTTTTTTAATCATGAAATTCGATACCAAATCAAAACCTGCCGATTTTTTCGATTTCAACATCTTTATTAATCGATGGATCTCAGCCATACTAATTAGTTCAAATATCAGAAATATGTATACTTACAATTCGATTTAATTTTTTCTATTTCGACCAACAAATAGTCTTGGAATATTTCTGCTTGAGCTTTGCTAGACTAAAAAAACAGGGTTTGGGTGTAGATACGGGTGTGGATGTGGGTGTATGTGTGTGGGTGTTTTTCTTTTCTTAATCTCTACCCACACCCACACCCACTCACACCCACACCCACACACCCACACACCCACACCCACCCACACCCTATGTAACATGTGTTCTATATTGAGTGTTGTTTATGGATGGAAGAAAACAGTGTTGTCACATGTGACCGAAAGAAAAAAGACATCGTTATTGCATGCTATTCACCTATTGGATAGAAACTGCTCAGGTAAAAGTTGACAAACGCATGGATGAAATGTATTACTTTTACTTTTTCTTGATTCTAGACGTCACATGATTTCATTCGATTCGATCATTACTCACATACAACTTTCCATCAACAGAGAAGAAATGTTTTTATTTTAACTATATGCTAACAAAGACGACATTTTTTATTAATAGATTCAAGCAAAAAAAAATCATCAAAGTTGGTACTATTTTTATCCGAGAATAATATCAATCGAAAAAGTAAAAAGATTCTTGCTTTGATTAAAGAATACATATCGATTATTCTTTTCAAACAATAAAAAACTAAAATGAATGATCAACTACAGAGCGAATCTTTTATCATTCTTCTAACTGTGATTATAACAAACACTTTATTGATGGACACTCATCGCGATAGGAATAACATTGTGCAAACTGAAAGTTACAGTGAAGTGCTCTATAGTTTAAGTATGTTTTCTTCTAAACCGTGGCAATGAAAGAAAATTTTCAGAATAGATGAATAAAAAATGATATTTATTCAGGGAAGACAAACCGAATCAATTGTTATTATGTCTCTAGACAAAAGGAGTAATTGCGTCTTTTGAATAATAACACTACTAATGAAATAATGTTTCTTTTTCTTTTTGCAGATCATGAATTTTCAATCTAATGTTAACAATGATCATGAAAGATCCACTGATAAGAGATTTTCAATTGAAAAGATCACTATTGATATTAGTACGAAGTCGGTCAAGAATAAGTCAATAACATCAAATCTAGATTTAGTGACAACCGACAATAAGGAACAATTCAATTTCCCTTTTCCAGCATCTTCTCACTACCGGTTTGTTATTCTTCAATAAAAAAAAAATCATTGAGCAGTACTTTCAAACTTATAGCGACTATTATCGATGTTCGAATATTTTAAAACGTTATTCTATATAGACTTTCTATGCTAGTTGTATGAATACAATTAATAGGAAGAAATTCTTTCAAATGTAATAGAAATAATAGGCTAAACCTCCAAGTGAATGTCTCAGTATATCTATAAAAAAAATGATTATCCTTTGTTCCTTTGTAGTGAACAAAGTTTTTCAAGATCTTCATTGGACTCTGATCGATGTTCATTCTTCGGTGTTGATTGGAGTTCGAAGGCTCATCCAAGATCTCATTGCTGGCTTTCCTATTGTTTGATCGATCGTTCATCTGTTCTTGAATGTGTCTACACTTTATGCAAAATCTCTCGCCCGTTTCGTGCTGATGAATTCATTCAATGTGGTTCATGCAGATTATCGATCCATAGAGAACACATTGATGAGTTGCACAAAATGAACGATACTCATAAGTATCTTCCATTTTGTCGTTCATCGTTTTCTAATAGTATCATATCAGAGGATCATGGTGAATACGATCATCATTACTGGTCTCCTATTTCATCACTTACGAAATCATGTGTGATATGTAGACGAAAAAGTTTATCACGAACATTAATTATTCGAAGAGAATCACACACCTCAAATGATAATACACCAATGCGAAATATAAATTTAAAAGTTGTTAAATCTTATCATAGCCTGATATGTCTATGGTGTTCAGAAGAGTGTCATCGACGATGTTGGAAAAATGTCAACGCCAATGATGATGATGATAATAAATGTTATTATGGAAAGTATAAGTGAGTTCATCTATGAGATATTATTAAATGTTTCCATTGTATTTATTCTTAAAGGAATATTATTGTTCGTCCACAGTGGTTACATCGCGTTGAAAACTCTTCAGTAGGTTTCCAAGCACGATTTCCAGATAACATTGATGCGAGTAATTCATCGTTGACACCTCTAATTGTCTTTATAAACAAACTTTCGGGTGGTCAAAAAGGCGAGATTATCTATAATAAACTTATACGTTTATTAAATCCACGTCAAGTTTTTCTGCTCGAAAACGATGCAACTATAATGCAAGCTTTGGATATATATTCATTTCTTCATAATACTCGTATTTTGGTTTGTGGTGGCGATGGAACAGTTGGATGGATATTGAGCACTTTAGCAAGAAGATTTTCATCACTTGATAATCCTCCAGTAGGTATTTGTCCTATAGGTACAGGTAACGATTTATCACGTGTGTTGAACTGGAGTTGGACTTACAGTACGAAACGATTATTAGCCACGCTTTTACAAATTTCTAATGCTAAACCTATTGCACTCGATCGTTGGCAAGTTGATTTTGAATCATTAACGAGCATTAATCCTATTGAAGAGACTGGAATTATTCGTCGATGTTTACCACATTTTCTCGATCATCCAA